GCATGCACACATGCATACGTATTATCCTTTTTGCATAATATCTAACATATATATAGTAAACCCCAACCTTTACACCAATGAACTCTCTATATACATATAGATACATACAGATAGTTTAATGACTAACTTGTATAATTAGCAGTGAGTTACACTGGTTTTCTCGCTCACTCACCATATGTATTGCATATAAACTATGTATCTAAAGGCATGTATCTGCTAAGTCTTCTATACAAAATATTAAGTCTAATGGTGATTAAAAGCAATGAGTTATTTTGTAAAGTAGAATAAAAATACTTCTTAATATACACCATTTTTATGGATGTATTAGTGTCGGTGCGCTGTATATTAATAAATGATCACATCTCAATAAACAAAGTGTATCTAAAACATATATAAATATATATGTAACTGATGTAATACAGCGTACACTGTACTAGTTATCGATTGTGATATAGAAGTAAAATGCTTTATTCAACTATAAAATAGTTCTAAATATCCTGGAGTTAGATCTAGATTCTCTAGTCTAAATCCACGCCAGGGGTGGTTACCCCCAGCAGTTCACCCCCGCAGCCGGGCTGCCCACGTCGCTCTGGGGCCTGGCAGGAGCTGGGGCGGGGGGGGGAACGTTTCCACTCCCAGTTACCCAAGGGCCATTCCCCCCAGTGGGACAGAGCCCACGCTGGAGGCTATGGGCACCCACACACCAGCGTATGGGGGGAGAAAAATTAAAATATACCCCCACCCAAGGGATCCCAAGCCCTGATACACCAAAGCAAGCACACAAGTGAGAGAAGAAAAATTTAAAAGTTTATTAAACATTAAGAGTAACAGACAAAAAAAAAAAAAAAGAAAGATTTGGGCTGAACAGCATACAGGATGCAATCCATTTCATCTCATACAGTTAATTTGATCTTATTTGTTAAACTTGTATTTAAACAGATGCTGTCTTGTGGTGTTGCCAGAAATACGATGGTTGATCACTTGTAAGTTTTAATACACTTTTTTTTTTCTTCACATAAAAAAAAGTCAACAAAATAAAAATAAACTGCACATCTCTATTGTAAATTACATGCAAAAATAGTTTTAAAGCAATAATTGGGGTTATTACAAACCCACAGAGGCAAGATATTCAAATGTTAGGGGTCCTTCGGCACTCCTGACTTCATCCCACTTACGCTTGCAGCTACAGGGTGCGTTTGTGCTGGTCCCTGTAGGCACAGCGGAGGAAGTCAAGCACGAAGCCTCGCTCAGGCGCCTTCCTTTCATTTTGAATTTCTTGCTTTTGTGGATTCAAGTCAGAACTTTATTTCCATGGTGCTAGGTTTAGTGACTTTAGCACCATTCAAAAAGGAACACACACACACACCACACCCCCCCCACTCCGCCTCCTCTGCCATGGGCTTTCCCACAGAGAGCCCCAAGGTGCTCGTATTCACAAATACGTCTCAAATTGGATTTCTTTTTAGAGGGCATTCTTTTTTAAAAAGAAAGAATTCATTTCTAAGTTTCAGCAAAAACAAAACAAAAAAAAGACAACAAGCATTTTACCAATGCCTACGGTTTAATAGAGGTCAGTGAATTATTTAGACACGCTATTAATTATTCTGCAAATATATATATTTCTATTTTTATAAAATTACAATTTCATATACCTACAAGCTCCTTCATGAGCAACAAAGCCATCAGAGGTGTGATGAGCCCAGCTAACCTGTCCTTGAGAACTGAAAATGAGCTAAACTTTCATTTCTTTGTTGCCGTTATTTGGGGGAAACAGCCTGGTTAGAGAACCTGGGTTTTTTCCAAGTTTTAGCCCACATATTTTGCCTTTTTTTTCTTCCCTCTTTTTTTTAAGAGTGAGCTTTTCAGAGGAGCCAGGGTACCTAACTCCCACCTTAAGAGGTGAGCACCCAAGTCCCGCAGGCTCCTCTGGAAGTCCTCACCCCCCAAAAAAAGAGAAGCCGCCAGCCTGCGCTGGGCCGGTTCCCCCGGCTGCCCCGGAGCAGCCCTCCCCGCTCACTCCAGCACATTTCCAGTCCCCCGAGCCGCGCACTTGCCCGACCGCCCTCCTGCACAGCGGGATGGGGCGAGGAGGCATCTGAGCGGCTTTGGGGCTGCTGGGCTGGTGGACGAGGTAGCTGCTGGAAACCCCTGTGCTCCTCTGTGGCCGTGACTTACTTAGTAACTCTGTGATATCCAGCCTACAAAAACTACCATCTCCCACCCCTTCCCTGCCCAAAAGAAACAAAAGAATTATCTGTAATTTTTGTCCAAGCTGCCTTTTACATTTTAAAGAAAGTTTTGTGGTCACAATGCAACCCGCTGATGGCTCTAGCTAGGTACGTACCAGCTGATCTCACACACACCGTTCCTGCTGTCCAAGCGTGCCCCCAAGAATAACCACGGTGAGGGCGATTATAAGCTGTTGCAATTTGCTATGTTGCTGCTAAAAGTGTATCCACAGCAGCGGCCGGCTGAGCCCTGCCACGGTCACGCTTCTTCAAAAGGAAAAAAATAAAGTTGATTTCATAGTGGCTATAGCAGATACACCGACTTGTGCCAAACACTGTCAGTCTCATTTCTCTACCCATGCATCCAGTGGCTTATACTGACCTTTAGAAAATAACTTACTATGCTTTAAACTTCGCTGCAGCACATGGAAATTCAATTTGCTGAATAAATGGTCCACAGGCAAGTACTGCACGTTAAGGGACGCTGAGAAGTCAGGTATGTTTGAGGAAAAATACCGGAAAAATGCCATTGATGCGAGGGTATTTTTAATGCTGAACAAAATGTTGAGTCCTTTGTAACTATCTCCTGAAGCATGAATAAGGATTTAATGGAATGAACAACCTTTTTATTTGAAAATAACGTCAAAACACTTAGAAAACTGTGAGCAAGACATGTAGCACCGTATTTTCCTCACGTTAATAACCGTATGCAGTACGTACAACTGTATACATGAACAGAGCTATTTATAAAAAAATTTCAGCTGGAAACAGATTCTAGCAGCAGCAGCAGATTAGAAGTGACGATGAGTTTTTCTGTGTTATATATTATTTTTCTGCCTTTACAAAATACTGTATTGTCCAATCAATAGTTGACTAAAATCCATGTTGTGCTTTGTCCCTGTTAAACAGTTTCTTTTTGTGTTTCTGATGGAAAATAATAAAGTCTCTCTTTTTCAGTAACATGGAACATCCTGCAAAGCCATATTACTTCCATAAAAATTTAGTTTAAAGCCCAGAACATGCCGGTGTGCCAGTGGTAGGCTTAAAATATTAAAGATTAAAAAAAAAAAAAAAAAAAATCCAAAAAACCAACAGCCAACAAACCCCCACGCATTTCCTTTCTGTACAATACTGGAGAATATATACCTTTGCTATATATTTTAAACATGGAATAGCTTTTTCTTTTTGCTATATATATGTCTTTCAAAATACATTGTCAGTATTTGTACTTGAAAAATACTGTACAAAACAAACATATTATAATTATTCTGTATAAACTTTATACATTTTATAATATCTATCCTTTTGGTCTATAGTAAACACTTAGATTGATTGGATTAACCACAGTATATGACAACACCATCCCCTTCTGAAATACACCAGTGTCTCTTACATTCATTTTTCAGAAGTCCACTTTATATTAGAACATACGTGTTCAAAAGCAAATAGAGAGTTTAAAACAAGAAAGTTCAGAACCATCAGTTCATGTCACACTCAAAGCAACAATCACTAGGAAAAATGGGCTTTGCAAACCAGTGACTTCTAACTGAATAAAAGTGATTTTTAAAACAGCAAGATATAATCCACAGAAAATATATTACAAAACATGGGAAAAAACAACTGAATTTAGGTATTTAATTTTTAATCACAAAATGGAACTTGAAGAAATGCATAACTAACTGAAAACAGAAAAACCCCTCTGATTTCGACATCGGATCTGATTTGATACTATTAATTTTGTTCTTGTTTCAACTAATTATCCTGCTTCTTATACATGCGCTCCCTATAGCAGGGATACAATTAGCATGCTCACGTTAATGTGTCTTTTACTTTTTAACGTTTTGTTAAAGACATTAAAACTCCTGTTGGGTAGGGAAACCATCCTACGTCCACTAGGAACATCCGGGCAGCATGCGCGCTAGCGTACAATAGGATTATTGCTTCAGGTACAGACAGTGCAAAATACACACTCTGTGGTCTATCGATAGTACTCCTACCTACCTGGGGTCTGTGGAAATAAAAGGAACCTTAATAGCTATAGAGAAGCCATTATGGGATCTATCATGAGTATAGCTAACTCAGTCTAACAGCACTTTAAATCTGAAGACAATTATCACCAAAACTTAAAATACAACAAAAGCAATCTATAAATTAATATTTCTGCAGTGTAGTACTAAATTATTATTTGTGCACTTTATTAGCATGTTAACTTTTCTGATTAGACATACTTAAACAATAGCTTGTTACTCTCGAAAAAACTGAGATCTACTTTTTTTCTTTTTTCTTTTTTTTTTTCCTTTTTTTATAATTTATACTGGGATCTTTCCAAGTAAATCAGGAGGATGGAACTGGTTACAATAACATAAAACCCCTACTCTGAAGCAGCATTGAAAAAAATATAATAAAAAGCTTACTATGGCGGTTCTCAACAGTCCAGGTAAAAATGTGGCACCCTTTGAAGAGGGCTTCATAAAAATGGGAAGTGCTAAGATGCGTGCGCACGCACACACACACGCACGCACATGCACACACACAAGCGCACACACACATATACAGACGTGTGAACACACATGTGCACACATACGCAGGTACACGCATACGCAAACGAAAAAAAATACGTAAGTCAGTTTTGTTTCTGCTTCTGGTAAAGTGCTGAAGACAGAAAGGTTGGTTTGGGTGTGGTGCTATCAAACAGGAAACACATTGTCCATCTATTCAAATGCCAACCCCCAAAAAAAAAAAAAAAAAAAAGAAAAAAGAAAAAAACCCCACTCCCCCCCTTGAATTTACAGGGGGCCGTGTCGAGCTTCGTACTTTGCAAGGACGTTCTTGCATTTGCCCAGCTCTTTCCGTAAGTCGGCCACCTCTTGGCGGAGAGCCGAGTTCTCCTTCTCCAGAAAAGAGGCGCGGATGGCGATCTGGTTCTCCTTCAGCCGGCGGGCATCCCTCGATCGCTTAGCAGCCATGTTGTTCTTTCTACGCCTTGCCCAGTATTTGTCATCCTGCTCATTAAACACAGAAAGAAACAAACAAGATATTAGATTTCAGTAAACTGAGCAGCCACCAGGATGTGCTCTTAGCCACAGCCTCCGGACTGGGGATGACAACTCCACACATTTTGCTTGCTTGGCCCAGCGAGCCCTGACAGTGCCAGGCACTGCTGGGACACAAGTTACAGATTTACATGGCATAATCCATCCAAGGAGCACAGATGCCTGCGCATGTTTCTGTCAAAATGTTTATGCTAACCCCCTCATCCTCTTGACTGTGAATTCCTCCAAGGAAAAATGAAACAATATTCCAGTGGTACAATTCATCTCACAACTACGCTGACCTAGTTAGCACATCCACCTTCGCATGTGATGACTCACTCTCTACCGGTTGCTGGAGCAGTAATAATTATCTCTTGTATGTCCCTGCTCATCTTTGCCAGCCAACACCTGGTTCACTCTGTTGGTATCATCCATTTCATAGAATCATAGAATGGTTTGGGTTGGAAGGCACCTCAAAGATCATCTAGTTCCAACCCCCCTGCCATGGGCAGGGACACCTTCCACCAGACCAGGTTGCCCAAAGCCCCATCCAGCCTGGCCTTGAACACTTCCAGGGATTTTGTCTCCTTCTTCTGTTCAAAGCTCTTTTTCTACAAAGCCCCAAAGCACTCCTGTTTGCACCCTAGAACAGCAAGTCACTGGAAGAGGATTCCTTGGCGCAATGATGATGGCTGCTTTGGTACCGCAAAGAGATTAGTAAATGCCCTGGTTTCAGCTGGGATAAAGTTAATTTTCTTCATAGTAGCTAGTATGAGGCTATGTTTTGGATTTGTGCTGGAAACTGTGTTGGTAATTCAGGGATGTTTTAGTTATTGCTGAGCAGTGCTTACCCAGAGCCAAGGCCTTTTCTGCCTCTGACTCCATCCCACCAGCGAGCAGGCTGGGGGGGCACAAGGAGTTGGGAGGGGACACAGCCGGGACAGCTGACCCCAACTGACCCGAGGGATATTCCAGACCACACAACATCATGTTCAGCATATAAAGCTGGGGGAAGAAGAAGGAAGGAAGGGAGGGATGTTCAGAGTGATGGCATTTGTCTTCCGAAGTCACCATTACACGTGACGGAGCCCTGCTGTCCTGGAGATGGCTGAACACCTGCCTGCCCATGGGAAGTGCTGAATGAATTCCTTGCTTTGCTTTGCTTGCATGCACGGCTCTTGCTTTACTTATTAAACTGTCTTTATCTCAACCCACGAGTTTTCTCACTTTTACTCTTCAGAATCTCTCCTCCATCCCACTGCGGGGGGAGCGAGCGAGCGGCTGTGGGGGGCTTAGCTGCCGGCTGGGGTTAAACCAAGACAGTACAATAGGCTCTGACCATGGAAAAAGAAAGCATTTGCCAGAAATAGGTCCACTAACCTCTGAAGTTTCATAAGCTAACACATTCCCAAAATGTTATCCCTAAAGACTTGCCTTTAGGAGATCACCTTACTGCATTGGTGCATCAAAGGCTTTAAGTAAATAATTTAATTTTACCTGATTTTTCTACTCTTCCAATGAAGTGGCCTTCAGTGGAATGGCAGCTTCAATGTGGCCTTGAAACTGAATTAAGTTCTAGAAATTTGGAACAACTCAGTAAGTACAAAGTAGGCAGGATCTCTCACGAAAAGTGAAATTCAGCCTCCTGCAGAATAAGAGTGATGCAGCCATTCAACCCTCAAATTGCCTGGTCAAGTCATATAGCTCAAACTTTCCCTCCCAGAGTATTCCTCCATTTTTGTATGCTTACATTTCCTTGTGTGGCTCTCGTGTTTCACCAGGCATGGGAGCACACCGCCATGTCCACTACAAGGCACAGGAGCCATCTGTTCCTACGGTGCACTGAGTAAATACCTCACCACTCCTCTGTCGTTCAGCACGAAGCATGCCAGGCCTAAAGCCACTGCTCTGCATCATCTCCTGTTGCTTCCATAAGGCAAAGCAAGAGCGAAACGACTGCTAGAAGTACTCTAGAACTGCTTTATATTAGTTTAGCTTAACAAGGTGTGCAGCAATGTTGATTTGGAGCCAGCGTATATCTAAATTGCTCTTCACCTGTACTTAGATGGGACCCACAAAAATCCTCTTAAAAACAAGCATGCAGCAAAAAGCTATGACCCAAATCTTGTTTATAATTTCCCATCTCATTCCACTGTATAAAAATCAGCTTTAAGCAATTTATTAGTGTGCCACCTAGGCTTCATCCCTCTTTATTTTAACAAATTGCTATGGCAAATCCCTTAATCCAGGCCTGAAAGAGGTAAGGCTGGCATTTCAAAATCACATGCAACCCAGAGACGATTGACTGGTCTAATCTGCTTACCCTCCCCCAGAACTCAAGAGCCGTTCCACATGCCAGGGCAGAAGCAGCACTTGGGTCAAGCACTCTGAAATGAGTCAAGGGCAACTGATGTGATTATCTCAGGGAAATGAGAGACCCTGAATTTCTAGGCTGAAAACTTAAGTGCCCCACTGCCGCATGCAAGACACTGATATCTTCCACCTCTGGCATGGAGTAGTCCAACAGCATCTTTGGCAAAATTTTGCTTTGACGAATAAGGATACGTAAGAGATATCACAAAATGACGAATGACACCAAGGAGCAAACTCCAGCCTCCTTACACCCACATAGCCATTTCTGTATCAAACACCTCTCTTTAGGCAGACCTCTCGGCACACTGCAATGCCAACAGAGCATCATTTGTAGTAAAAGTTGCCCAAGTAAGTAATGGCATGGAACAGATAAACCCTTCTAAACGAAAGCTGAGGATACTACAGACAAAGTGACAGCAACATACCACGTGAACACTACTGGAATTGTGATTTCTATGCTTTTAACCTGCACAACAGTATCCCTAGGGATAAAAATAGCGAATTGCATCAGCTTCTTTTCCTAATGCTATCAATCTGGTGTAAACACATGGCAACCCAGTCTCTTCACACACGCAGCCAGGGATTCCCACCAACTCCAACAGCCTTTCAGTTTGTGTCTTGGGGGGCAGTAGCAACAGTAGAACAAAATTCTGCACTGACTAACTCTGATAAAAAAGATCTTCTTGGAAATCACATACTGGGAATAGAATCTTGCAAATAATGACAATTTTCACAGTCGTTTGATAAGCTGAATCAGTTGATGAATTTGCTCTGCTCTCTTCATGCTCTTTGCTCTTCACATGTCAGAAGCGGTGAGAGGCATAGACAAGGGTGCTTTCTTTTTAAATATTGTATTATTACTATATTTTAAATATTGTATTAAAATACACTTCTCAGCAGAATACTTTTGTTCTGTTTTCCTACAACTAGTTTAGATTCTTTCACCTAGATTAGTAGTGTTTACTATAGTGTTCCCATCCATTATGAAACACAGAGCTAAAGCAACTTCCAAACACGATACAATGTACTTCATTCTGTCATTATCAGGGACCTCCACGGACTCTGCCAGAGATGGGTTCTTCCTTGAAGAATTCACAATCTATGCTGATGAGACAGACAGAGGACGGAGGAAAAGGAAACATGATCAGACTGTTTCATAAGTGGGAAATATGGGACAAAGTAAGCCTGTCTAAGGTCACGCAGGAAGTTTCTGGCATACAAAGGAAATGAATATTGATCTCATGAATTTGAACTGTTGTGTAACTAATAAGGGACATCCTCCCCTCAGTCTTATTCAGAACCTTTAACAGTTTTATTCTACAATGTTGTATTTAGTCTGGCAGATTTAGCTTACATGAGAAAACAGATTCATGCTCCAAACCTGTATCTCAGAAAGTAACTGTCACAGAGTCTGTACAAACAACTCGTCACCAGTTCCAATTTACCTTCAGGTCATCTGGAATGAAGACTTTGCGAGCTTTCTTAATCATCGGCTGTGGTTTCAGCTCTTCTTCAGAGAATTTGCGCTTACGAGGGTCAAACATCTCCTGGCCAGGAATACTGGAAAGAGCAAGATCTGCAGGGTCAGGTTCATAGCCAACAGGAACTTGTATAGTCTCGGGATCGATAGGACTTGGTGTGTTTCGGTTTGCTGGCAAGATCTGACCTACAGAAAAATAAAGGATAAATTCAGCTATGTTAGAAGAAAATACGTACATAGTATCACTGAACATGGACTTTAGAAGATCTCTAAATACAAGCAATAATTCTTTACGCTTTCACTGTAAATTTGATATCTACTCTTGCTAAATATTAGCTCGCCCATTTTGTAGGGTGCATATTCAGACATGCTCATGCTGTTATTTTCAGAACTGATTCCTAATTCTGGTTGCTAATCTTGGATGCCCACGTAAGATAACTGAATGCAACACTGAGTTGCACTAGACTGCAGGCAGAAGACGTATTGCTCCAACCCGTGCCACTTCATTAAGATCACGTCCTCAGGAACAAATCATAAGTACTGTCATTTAGCTCCGATTTATCCACCACTCTGTAACCCTTCTCAGTTTTCTCATACACACATTACTTCATATATACCTTTGAGGGTACATTTAGTTTTTACAATCAAACAACATACAGTACAATATCTCATGAAAATGTACATTCAAGCTGTGCTGAAGCACTCCACTAAGGAGACCGCTATTTTCTGTGAAATCCTACCGGTGATATTCTAAAAGAAAGTGAAGGAAACTAGCAACACGGAAGGCTACAATGACTACTGAAAGATGCTCTGCAAAAATGAAAGAACACTGATTTATACCACGTTGCGCTTTTATGGCATATAAAAATCTAACAAAAAGGAGCCTATCCCCAGAAAAGAATGCTACACCCCCCCCATTTTTCTTTTTTAATCTTAGATATAGCCTTCAAGATCCTACAGCACCAATTCAGGCACCATTCCCACTAAAAATCCAATTTAATATCTCAACCAAAGGTTCCAAAAATAGGCTCCTAAAGTCAGCTGCCTAAACATGGACTATCCCCCGGGGTAGAATTTTCAGAAGTTTTCACATGCCTCAGAAGTACAAGCCTCACAGACTTCAGAGGGAGGACTTCTGATTGAAGCAGATATTCTTTTATAATTTCGGCTATTAGCTAATTCACTTTGACTTTAGAGATATGACAGTTTTCATAACTACACAAACATCCTGCAACTGCATAATATTTCCTTATTTGTGCCCACATCTGCAATATTTAGGGTGTAAAACGGTAAACATTGAATGTCATTTCTAAATCCAAACCAAGGCCAGCGTTAACAATGAAGTTTTTATTTTAATCTAGAAGATCGCGGCAACAATATTGAAACTGCGCAGAAAATGCACCGGGGAATTGCGTTGCGCAAACCAGGGCTTGCTAGCAGGGAGCTTGTCTTTTGGAACTCCTATTTTAAACCAGCGCTGATAAAATCAGCTTCCGGGAAAAGCTAGTGAGGGCCTGGGAGAAAAGAAAAGGAGGATCAAAGTTATTAAAATAAGTATACGTCTTTTGGAGAGCGAGCGAGAGGAAAGGATCCGGCTACCCGCATTGTACCGACAGCAGAGCGCTTCCTCCGCTGCCTCCGGACCCGCCGCGCCACTGCCAAGCCCTCGGCGCTGAAAACTCGACGTTTCCTG